CTGTATGATACGGTCGAAATGCGTGGACTGCCTTGGCGACCAAGTGTACCCATTATAAGAGCAAAGCTTTTGGCCGACATGCCCTTTTTAACTGCCTCCTTCCGTAATGTACGCATTTCGGTTGTGTTGTAACTCTCCTTCGTTAATGTTTTATTGTGGGGGTCATACTGTAGTGCATTTAGCGTTGGGTGAGCTATGAGAAATGATTCCAGGTGGAACCTCCCATCACCCACGTAAAGCACCATGTCAACAGTTGCCGGATCCACCACGGGGCTTGTGCAGCCAAGTATCTCGCCGCTCGAGAGTGGGCGGTTCTGTGGGATAATTACAGGGTGCTGGAAGTGGTCCCTTAGCATCTGCATCCCAGCCCGCATCGACGATACAAACTGGATGGTGGCAATACACGCTAAACGAGTCTCAGGTGAGACGAGACGCCTTACGGTGTCCACGAAGTGTTGAATATCAATTTCTATTTCCACAAAGACGTACATCATGCTACTAATAAGGCAGTCCTTGATGGAAATGAGACAACTGTGGCCGTAATGAATCAAGAAATCGCATCCCAACGCCACCGCCGAGTAATCATCCACGCAACACGCACCATACGTGACATCACCTAATATCACCATTTCTGCGCCCGTTTTCGCCTCTAATATGTCAGCGATGGGAGCTGCAAACATAAGAAGTCCCTCAGGAAACTGAAGCGCAACACGTGTCGCATTCTTCTCTTTGATGCGCCTCACACACTTGTCAATCTCAAACCTGTAGTTGCTGGGAAGCCCTAATTCCGACTCTGCGGATTCCATTGCTGCACTGAAAGGAGCATACAGGCGTATTTATTTGATTGATACATTTATTTGTGGATGGGCAATAAAGAGAGAAGAAAGCACTTCAAAGACTCTTCCAAGATGAAATGTGCCAAAAAAGCGTTCTACGTTTCTGTACTTCTGTGTGTTTCCACCAATGACAGAGACATGACCCACTCTCGCAGCACAGCCACCAATGCTTGTCTCATTAGAGTGAGGGATAAGAAGGCATGTAAAAAGACATAAATAAATCAAATAAATATATACAAAATAATTAACGCGGTAAAACCACGCGTTTTCTAAACTTTCACGTCTCACACAACTTTTAACCGCTTGCGCAAGTGTCCACTGTCGCCCTGGACAAGATACAGATCAGGCTCCGGTACCTCCACACACAAGCAGTGGGCAACATATTCCATCCTGAGAACCGGCAAATGTACGGCGAGTATGTCTAGTTGTGATGCCTCCCACACGTTGTCGTCCGAGAGAACAAAACACAGGTCCCTCAGCTCCTCAAAATCGCTCTTCAGCGTGTTCAAAATCTGGGGAGGGGAGTATGGGCGTATTACGCGGCAGCCACCGCTCCGTAGGACACGAGAAAAACTCTCCGTCCGCGACTCCGTTGCGCAACAGAGAGCAACTCGCCACGAGGAGAACGAGCGCACAGTCCGTTTCCTCTGCAAGCTACACGCTCGAACAAGATCCACCACGGAGTTTCGAAGCAACGCAGCTATGGCAATCTCCGGGCACCACTCATGTGCTTCTTCAGGGACGATGCGACCTTCACGCAGCGTCTCTTCAAGGAAAGACGGTGCAAGCACCCATTT